CCATGAGTGTATGCGTAAACACTTTTTAATAAAACGTAAATTCGTCCCCCGTGATTTTTTTAGCCAAGTCAAGTGTGTTCGTAGAGGTTTCCATGGGCCAATGCGAATAAAGCTAGATTTAAATTAAAAAAAGACACGATATTGTCGGACCTGACGTTTTATTCTTATCCAAAACAAGATGTGATATGAGTGTGATACATAGGCTACATGCATACACTACCAGTCAAATTTTTTTGAACAGTAAGAAAGATCCAATAGAAAGATCCAAAGATCAGCATTAATATGAAATAAAAAGCTTTTGTAACATTATACATATACCATTCAAAAGCTTGGAGTCAGTATTTTTATTTAATTTTTTATTTAATTTTTATTTTTTGGGGAAATGATAGAAATTAATACTTTTATTTAACAAGGATGCTTTAAATTGATCAAAAGTGACGATAAAGACATTTATAATGTTACAATATATATATATGCCCAAAACACACCCATTACTCATTAAGAGAATAGGGACAACCCTTTTAGACCAAGCGCCGGGCGCGCCAACCATTTTTCCCATTGTTAAACTAGCAAAAGTGGGTTCAGATACGTCCTAAGTCCACTTGCGCCATGCGCTTTAGACCATGTACTTAGATCATTAAAATATGGCCCCTAGTTTCAAAGTCCCAACACTACTTCCCAATTGTCATCTTTTTGTTGTGTGAAATGGAAAACATGGACCACTCAAGGCATCTGTTTTTAGTAGAATCACTTGAGCGAGGTCACACTTCCTCTCTTTATTGTGACTTTCCTCTCGATGGACCCCTGTTGGGTACCTTCTCTGATCCACCATCCATAGAGTCTTTACATGGTGGAGAGACAGGTAGAGGCAACGGCCTTTTTAATTGGTTGTTTAAATGCGACTTTCTCTTTTCTGTTTGTGTGCCAGGGGAGATTGTGGATATGAAAGCTAAGCTCAGGGAGCTTCTGTCAGCCTGTGGCTAGGGCTTATCACAGCACAATTAGCTATTGCCCTGGGCACAAATATTGCAGCGGTCCTTGAAAGAGCCAGGCATTTGCCAAATTTTCTGCATAATTGCAAATATTCTTGGACTGTGTCTATATCCTGCCCCAAAACTCCTCCTCGTAACTGGTTCACAGTTAGTGGTGGTTCTCATATAAGAGAAGCAGGTTCAATTCCAGTCGCTCAAAAAAAAACTTAGTTTCAGAGTCCATTTTTGTAAGTTTTTGTTTTAGTTATAGTTTTCCTGAAAATAACCTTTAAATTTAGCCAGTGTTTCATTGCCATGTTCATTAATTGTAGTCAGTTTTACTTCAGACTAAGAATGTATTATTAGCAGTATTATTACTGTTGTGGACAAAAGTATTGGGACACCCGACATTACACCAACAGGTACTTCAATGACATAGCATTCTAAATACAAGACATTAATTTGGAGTTGGTCCCCTTTTGCAGCTATAACAGCTTCCACTCTTCCGGGAAGGCTTTCCACAAGATTTTATAGTGTTTCTGTGGGAATTTTTGCCCATTCATCCAGTAGAGCATTTGTGAGTCTTGGATGAGAAGGCCTGGCTCACAATCTCCGTTCCAGGTCATCCCAAAGGTGTTCAGTGGGGTTGAGGTCAGGGCTCTGTGCAGGCCTGTCAAGTTCTTCCACACCAAACTCATCCAACCATGTCTTTATGGTTCTTGCTTTGTGCACTGGGGCACGTTCATGCTGCAATAGAAAAAGCATGAAGCAGTAAGCTTTCCCTTCACTGGAAGTAAGGGGTCTAGCCCAACTCCTTGAAAAAAAAACCCCATACCATTATCTCTCTTCCATGTACATCATCATTAAACAAAACATTCTGAAAAATCTGACCTTCTGATATATTTATAATGAACACACTATTGGTCATGCTAATCTTTTGTTAGAGGATAACAGCTTTCGTGTAGAGCCGCCACCATTGTATGAATTCACACATAAATATGACCATCACAAACCCTCTTCAGCCACCGCAACCATCTCATTTTTTTTCCAGATGAGAAGAGTTTGATTCATTATATCATCTCCGTAAACCAAACATACCATCTACATACTCCTCCAAGTGCAGGACAGAAAGATAATGTCTTCGACTTGTGAGATATTGAGTGGTTTTTACTCTTGTGAACATGGGGACGGCTGTAAGCTTGCTCTCTTGTTCTCCTTTGTCGAGTGCTTTTCCATTAACCTCCTGAGCGACATGTGAAAACTATCTGGCGAGGTGCCTTTGTGAGTCACTGGTTCGATTACATTGGGCCCATGCCCCAGTTAGGCCAGGGTTATTGGTTTGATTGTTTGTGTTAAGCTTTGAGCTGCCGACACACTGTGAGAGTCAGACGGCCTTGAAAACCTAAACAATCCAGGTGCAGGGAAAAAGGTTATAAATTAAATGACCAAAGAAGCCTTGACTGTGAAAAAGTCTCTCTCAAACTCTGTTGAAGCGGCTCGGATGATTGGCCCTCCTAAAATAATCTAATATAATGTCCAGCTGCATTTGACAGAAATGCACTGGACATTTGTGTGCCTGTTGACATTTGCAAATACAACTTATAAAGTATATATAGAATTTTATCCACTACTGTTCAAAAGATTGTGGTCAGTAACATTTTTCTAAAAACTTTTACTTTTATCCCAATTATGATTTTTTGGGGGGTTTTTTCTATTCATTGTAATTCTACTTCCTTTATTTATTTCCTTTATTATTTTAAATTATATCCTGTTTTCCATCTCAAATAAAATTACAATTTAGGAATTTTAAAGACATTCTCAGTTCAGTTCTGAATAGTGCATTTGAATAGCCCTGATAGTTAGTTACCATGGTAATTTTTTTAAAGACATTGGCCAAACCTTTCAACCAGCACCACCATTTGAGTTTCCAGTAACCAGACATATCATATCCTGAGGATTACTTCATGATGACTAAACGTCTGCTTTGGCTTTTGTTTGTAACATCATTGTTGAATTTGGAGTGGACAAGGAATGATGTTGATGCTTGCCTGGCGCGACCGGTTATTATTTGGGTGGTGTAGACGATTTATACTGCCTAACAATAGACCCACAAGCCCGATCTCTAGAGCGAATGGTTGATGGAGGATCTAATTTTCTGCATGTCTGAATATGAATATGACTTACATCTGCCCCCAACCCCCCACCACACTTCCCTCCCTTTTTCTATCTTCCTCGCTCACTTGTTTCGTCTTCCCTGCTTTGTGAGTTGCCCGGCACTGACTGTAAAGATACCACCCACACGACGAGACCATCAAACTTTCATTACGCCTAAGTGCAGTTAATCTCAAGGGAAGCAGATGAAGCAAAGAAAATACGACAATTTATCGAAGCTAGAACACTCAGTCTATCTTGTGCTCGCTCAGCCGCTGTGATGAAGAGAATTGAGTGTCCAATGGACTGCTGTCAGGTAAATCAGGATAATTAACCAAAACGCATAGCTTGAGGCCACTTGTATAGACTTAGTCTGATGTTTAACACCAAATAAATCACTATTTGTGAGGATTTTAAATCATAATGGCATGATACTATAGCCTTACCATCAGATTACATCAGAAGCCTCAAATCAATCTGTTTGCTGCTGGGTAAGAAAATGACATTTTCGAGAAATAGACTCAAGTGCCCAGCTATCCTCCATGTCACATTTTTTACACTTTTTCCTGCTTGACAGCCTCTGGCTATTTTATTTGTTTCACGGCACGTCAGACTCTCTTCCCGAAAGACCGAACTCATACTGTTGTCGGCTGTAAAGCTAAATTAGAGAGCTGGCAAATTTCTGCAGCATCTCCTGATGTACAGGGCAGTAGTTGGAAGCAAGCACAGGCATTGATTGAAATTCCAGCATCTCGTTTTTTTTCAAAGGCTGATTTGTTGTGTTTTGATTAGCGCTGCTTATTAGGATCCCAAAGTGGGAGGGCTCCCTCTCAGCCCTGACATTATTACATGGAAGGAGAGACAGACGGAGCATCAGGAGGAAGCCAAGTCTCAATTGAGCTTGCCGGTTGACTCAAGCGACAGCCTTAACTTTCTCATTTTAGTGCCTGTCCATGGACTTTAAATGCGGCCCGGAATAACTAAGAACATTACATGTGTGTTAAAGGCAGAGGCATTTCCTTCATCAGAATTTTTTGTCTTGTGTTCCAAATATTTAAACAATTGAAATAAGATACATTTACTTGAGAAGCAAAATTGGGATAGAAAGATGATAAGAGAATACCTGCATTTAAGGTGCGTGCGTGTGTGTGTGTGTGTAATAAATAAAATTAATAAATAATATTAAAAATACTAATAATAATCTTGCTGTATTTTTATTAAAATTATACATAATTTAATTAATTTTATAAGGATTTTATTTTGTTTTATTAAGATTATATCTTTATTAAGATTATACAGTATGTAGTAAGAGTATGCATTTTATATATACAGTGGGTACGGAAAGTATTCAGACCCCCTTCTAGCTTTTTTTATTGCAGGTCTGAGAAAAATAAAAGTCAGAATTGCGAGATATACTCTCACAAATGCAAGGAAATTCATATATCAGAATTACCTTTTTAAAAAAAAAAATTCTTGGTGGTTCCAATAAACTGAATTACGAGATGTAAACATCTGAGAAAAAAAAATAAAAAATCTGAATTTTATGATGTAAACTCAGAATTAAAAGAAAAGGTCAAAGATATAAAATTGTAATTCTGAGACAAAAATAAATTTTTAATTTTGAGAGAAAAAAGTCTCAATGGCCTTCATACCTATGCAAATTCGTGATTTGAAATATTATCAAAATATGTTTAAAAGGATATTTTGTGTCCAAATAAATAAATAAATAAATAAATGTTTTGGGGGATTAAAGTATGTAGTTACTCTTCTTCCTGAAGATCATAATGAGGAATCCAGCATATGGAGCCAATATAATTGTAATAAAATCAAAAGAAATGAAAAACACATAGAACATAACACTTGTGACTTTTTGTTTAGATGCTGATCAAAGTGTCACAGCAGCCAATGAGAGCAACCCCACCAGCAGCACTAAAGGTAAAAACAAAGATGTGTGAATTAAAAATATTTTTTGGCCTTCTGATCATTTAATGGTTTAAATTCAAATTCATGACTTATTTTATATTTTATACAGAAGACAGCAGTGTGTGTGTGCATTTCCAAATGTAAATTAGTTTTTAGCCATTTTATTTATTTGAAAGTTGAGAGAGGAAAAAATACAGCAACAGGATCACATTGAAACTCATGTCACCCAGTAGTTTGTGAGCATGTGCGTGAACCACTAGGTCACGACTCCAATTCAAATGCATGTTTCAATGTTTATACAGAAGAAATAAGAGCGTGTGTGGATGCATTTTTAAATTAGAATTTTCAGGTTATGGAGCTTTTTGCCACTTTTTTTTTTTTATATGACAGTTGAGAGACACAAGAAATGACAGGGAAACAGGGAAAACACAGGATCGTAAATGTTGCATTTGCTCAAGTAAACTCAAATGCATGCTTTATTATTTCTACAGAAGAAAAGAAGAAAAGGTCAGATGCATGCACAGGTGTATCTCGTCATCCTGAGCTCTGCAATCTCATGTTCTTCTCTTGAAGCCTCTGTTGCCGCAGGCATAGCCTTTAGCATCCCTTGCATTTATTTCAGCTAGGAGAAGCCCAGTAGCCAATGAGATGTCACCCAGTGGCATCTAACTTTTAATTCCTCTGCTCAGCTGGGATCTTGAGTCATTCATTCCCTTCACTCTGCCTTCTTCCCTTGTTTTCTCTGTCTCTCTACGTAATATGTGTCTAGATGATGTGAAAGCCCAGGATAAGAGCTCACAAGAGCCCGACGCAACTCCACCAGACACCAGACCAAATTCTGAAGGTAAAAGCAATAAATCAATAAGAGCTGTGAATAAAACAGAGAAACACACTTACGCAGTTCTCATCTTCAGTAAATGTCCCCGTCTCTGTCATTGTCCTTCTCATTCAGCTAAAAGCTCCCAACTTTTTCTGCCTCGTATGCTTTACCCGCAATTCCTTCACTTCCTTTCTCTCTCATTCACTTTCTCTCTGCTGATCTGGAACTGCGGAGTGACCCTGATTTTTCAGAGTAAACGTGTTGGCATGCCTCCTTAAATTGAGTTTGATGAATTACCTGCATGCCCACCTCACGGACATTAATAAATCAAACACAAAGCGTGTGTGATCGGAGCGCAGAGATGACGCAGTGTGAGAAAGCTGATAAATCATGTGTGATAAGAGTTTTGCTGTGCTGTCATTTCGGGAACCCCGGGGTCAGCTTCCCTCTTAGGGCTGCACATACAAACTCCCAGCATGCCATTTATATTCATTCCCTTCGCATTTGACAGGAAATAATTTAGTACAGTATCTTTATGTGTGTATCTGTACAAACAGGCATGCAGGTAGAATTTAGTTGGACTTTTATTTAACTAAAAGAAAGTTGGTTCTATATTAAAATATATAATATATGATATTATTATATTAAAGTCAGCATGAAATTCAATTCAAGTCAAAACAAACTGTCTGAACAGCAAGTTGTTGTTAAATTAGATATAAAGTTGCTGTTAAATTATATTGAATACTTAATATTCAATATATATTGGTAAGTTGTGTATGTGTGTGTGTATATATATATATTTATATGTATACTTTATTTGTAAAATATGTATTAAATATAAAATAATTATAAAATATAAATATAAAAATCATTGTATATTGAATATTATATATTAATGATTTATTATTTTATATTTGTTTATAAATGGCACAATGTATATTAATGAAATACAGAATAAAATGGAAAAAATTCCAGTAAAAAATATTTTTTTACTGATTAATTGTCTGATTATTTAATGAAACAATAACCAAATATTCTATTACTTTTAATTGCAGCTCCACTTCTAATTGATACTGTAAAATAAAAAAAGTGAACCTAGATCGTTGGAAATGGGGGGATTTGTCAAAGAAAAAGTAAATATGCTCAATGTTGCTTTCACGTTGACACCAATCTGTCAGCCTTGTGCATTAGGTTTAACTGTTTGTTTTCTGATATGTATACTTAATTCTGCTTTCATGTTTGTTTTCTTCAAGACGGCCAAGGCGATAAGAACGCACAGGAATGAGACGACAATCAGCCTCATAGGAACGAGTGCCGGCAAACTGTGTGAAGGCAAATATCACACCAATTTTGTCCCACGCTAGAGAGTCTTTACTTAAATGATTTTAGCAAATGGCTGCAATATAACAAAGAGTGAAAAATTTAAGGGGGTCTGAATACTTTCCGTACCCACTGTATGTATGTGTGTGTGTGTGTGTGTGTATGTGTGTGTGTGTGTGTGTGTGTGTGTTTGTGTGTGTGTTTTACACTAACCCTGGTTGCTCGTTGCCAAATACTTTTCACTTTATTTATTTAAGCATAAACATCACTCATTATTTTTCTATTCATGTTAAACCTTTTGTCATGGGGTAAAATTAAATAAATAAATAAAATGCACTTTTTCTTCTCAAGTAATAGTTAATTGTTTTAAGAATTTTTAGATATGTTTACTTGAAAACAATACCAAAATACTAAAAAAAAAAAAAAAAAGATTTCTGCACTTTTGTACATATGTGTGATTCTTTGTTTACTCCAGCTCCCCATTTGTGCTGGAATATGGATAAAACACCAAGCGAGGGACAGAGAGTAAATTTGCTTCCAGAAGTGGGCAGTAACAGAAACAGTGTTTCAATTTCTCCCTCTACGGTGCCGCGAGAAAAGAATGAAATGAAATCATGGCGGTGGCGGTTGCCCGTGCTCTCCCTTACCTTTCCTCATCAAGGCACTCCGCTGCTGCTCGATTTCTCCAATAAAAAAAGCTATTTTTTCACATTCAAAACACAAATCCATCACTTGCAGCTTTGCGCCGTTAAATCAGTCGAATTTGAGGGCTGGCCACCAGAGAGAGTGAAGCGTAGCTCTCGAGTGGTTATCTCTCATTCTGAAAGGTTGCAGTAAAGCCATCGTCTGTAGTTGTTGAAATGTTGTCACCGTAACCCGAAAAATTGTCTCCGACTGAAAGCAAAGCTTCAGAGCTTGTGATGAAATTAGCATGAAAGCATGTAACATCACAGTGAAAACAGACGCCATGATGTTACACTGCCAGTGATGTGTATTGTACATTTAAGATGTTCCAGTGTGTTTAGATGATGTTTGTAAGATTCTCATGAAGGTAAATATTGTTATTCTGCAGACAAACGCTATGGTTCTAGTGCGAAGACAATCTGCAGCACTGAGTTGGGTGCGCTTGCATCATCCATGGATGTGCCGCAGGAAGGAGATTATTTCATGCTGTGGTTTGCTTTGGTATTTAGGCAGAGAGTTAGAAGAGAGAAACTTATAGAGGAGTTTGAAAATGAGGCTCACACTGATATAGACTCAAGGCAGTTTCTAATTAATTTTCTATGCTTCCCCTTTCGTCTGCATTTGTTTTGTTCCTCTTGAAGGCGAGAGGCTTTTGGACCATATTTTTCATATTTAAAAAAATATGCATTGGTCTTATACCAAAGAACCAATTAGCTGTAGAGTAATCTCCTATTGAAGTTGATGTCTAAATACACTACACTTGGGGCGATGCAGTTATTAAAGATACAGACTGGGAAGGATGTAGGTTCAAGTCCCGATAGGTTACTCCACAGGGATTGTGCCTAGAGTGTGAGTAGCTACTAAGTCACTTTAATATATTCAGTGGAATCACCAAGTTATGGAAGCTTATTTCTGCCACGGAATTTAAATAAAAGGGTAATTAAAAATGTAATTGTAACTTTTTATCTCACAATTGAGCTTTTTTTATTGCAGGTCTGAGAAAAATAAAAGTCAGAATTGCGAGATATACTCTCACAAATGCAAGGAAATTCATATATCAGAATTACCTTTTTAAAAAAAAAAATTCTTGGTGGTTCCAATAAACTGAATTACGAGATGTAAACATCTGAGAAAAAAAAATTAAAAATCTGAATTTTATGATGTAAACTCAGAATTAAAAGAAAAGGTCAAAGATATAAAATTGTAATTCTGAGACAAAAATACATTTTTAATTTTGAGAGAAAAAAGTCTCAATGGCCTTCATACCTATGCAAATTCGTGATTTGAAATATTATCAAAATATGTTTAAAAGGATATTTTGTGTCCAAAGAAATAAATAAATAAATAAATGTTTTGGGGGATTAAAGTATGTAGTTACTCTTCTTCCTGAAGATCATAATGAGGAATCCAGCATATGGAGCCAATATAATTGTAATAAAATCAAAAGAAATGAAAAACACATAGAACATAACACTTGTGACTTTTTGTTTAGATGCTGATCAAAGTGTCACAGCAGCCAATGAGAGCAACCCCACCAGCAGCACAAAAGGTAAAAACAAAGATGTGTGAATTAAAAATATTTTTTGGCCTTCTGATCATTTAATGGTTTAAATTCAAATTCATGACTTATTTTATATTTTATACAGAAGACAGCAGTGTGTGTGTGCATTTCCAAATGTAAATTAGTTTTTAGCCATTTTATTTATTTGAAAGTTGAGAGAGGAAAAAATACAGCAACAGGATCACATTGAAACTCATGTCACCCAGTAGTTTGTGAGCATGTGCGTGAACCACTAGGTCACGACTCCAATTCAAATGCATGTATACTGCTCATCAAGGCTGCATTTATTTGATCAAAAATACAGGGGGAAAAACGTAATCTTGCAAAATGTTATGACAATATAAAATAATGGTTTCTATTATAATATGCTTTCAAATATAATTTATTTCTGTGATGCAAAGCTGAATTTTCAGCATCATTACTCCAGTCTTCAGTGTCACATCCTTCTAATATGCTGATTTATTATCAGGGCTGGAAAATGTTGTGCTGCTTAATATTTTTTTGGAACCTGTGATTTTTTTCAGGATCCTTTGATGAATAAAAAGTTAAAAAGAAGACCATTTATTTAAAATAGAAATCTTTTCTAACAATATACACTACCGTTCAAAAGTTTGGGGTCAGTACATTTCTATTCTTTATTTTTTTTTTGAAAGAAATTAAAACGTTTATTCAGCAAGGATGTGTTAAGTTAAAGTTAAGAAGTGATAGCAAAGATTTATATTGTTAGAAAAGATTTATATTTTGAATAAATGCTGTTCTTTTTAACTTTTTATTCATCAAAGAATCCTGAAAAAAGTATCGCAGTTTCCAAAATAATATTTGGCGGCACAACATTGATTGCCAACATTGATAATTCTAATAATAAATTAGCATATTAGAATGATTTCTTAAGGATAATGTAACACTTTATACTGGAGTAATGTCTGATGGAAATTCAGCTTTGCATCACAGAAATAAATTATATTTTAAAGGATATTAAAATAGAAACCATTATTTTGTATTGTAATAACATTTAGCAAGATTACGTTTTTTTTCCAGTTTTTTTTAAATGCTGCCTTGATGAGCATAAGAGACTTCTTTAAAAAACAT